TTGACATCTAGAGAAAACCTCAACAGTAAGGAGCCAGCTATAATTTTTAAGGAGCATTGGCTACCTGGCTCCAGGGATTTGTCCAGCCTTGGGCTACAGAACAATAAGCCTATAGAGATAAAACAGTGGGATGGATTCATAAGATGAAAACCTAAAAAACTGACACCAGCAGCTGCGCTCGACCACACAGCTGTTGGTGTGCTTGTGCCCAGACACTGCCGATGTGCCTGATCAAGCATCGCACAGTTTCTTTTTCTTTTGTTAGAACTTTATTTAATGTCACAAGTGACATTTCAATAACGTTTATATGGGTGTACCGTGTCTCACTGCGATGTGCTTACAAAAAAAAAAAAAAGTACTGCACGCCGTACTTTTCTTTTTTTAAGCGCACTGGTGTAAACTGTCACCATCCATGACAATGCAAATTGCCTGGTTTTCTGTTTGGGCTGTGCTGGAAAAAACGGCAAACGCAGCACGAATGCAGATGGTGTGAATGAGCCCTAACTCCTTCGCATTTCTGAAAATCGAGAGCTATTTTTCTGCCCTTGCAGGATCTATAACAAGATAAAAAATGGGGAAATGAGCACGTATTGCAGAGATGCACTGCAGACAATTTTTGTTTGTCTTGAAATTCTTGAAAAGGAAACCATATTAAATGTTGCCAGGAGAGTTCTGAGCACCCAGTGCTCTGAACTCTGGAAGTCAACAACATGCATGCAAGTATTGCCCATGAGTATAAATCTAACAAGGTGCCAAAAGCCAAGCTGTTTTTACTCCGTATCACCTACAAGACCAGCTTTTATCGGGAGTCAATAATACACCCAACCTATAAATAACTAAAGCACTCAATCCCTACTGAAATGTAAACTTTCAATTTAACATTTATGGTGACGCCTATACAACAAGCATTTCTAGCTTGTTAGTTGGTATATAGCATATTCTGGAAAACACAGGAGGAGTACAGACCACCAAAAGGTTTTCTTCTTATATTCTAAACCTTTTAACAATTTCAAAATCGAGCTATACAGTATCCAAAAGATGCACACTGTATCCTGCTATAAGAAAAAAAAAACAAAAAAACACGCACACAAAACAAAACCAGCACGCCTATGGGGAAAAGCAGGGCTTTTCCCCATAGTTCTCCTTAGGGTAACGGGAGGACACAAACTAGCATCCTCCCGTCACCCTCCCGAACCCGGTATGTGTTCGCTCACCTCCCGATCTACTGAGCCGACCTGTGACAGTCTCATTGTCACAGGTCGGCTAGAACTATGAGGTGAGTGAAAATCACTCACCTCATAGTTCCCCTTTAAATAATAATACTGCAATGAGAAAAACAGGTGCTCATTAACTTGTCAGAATTCTGAATCCGGTGTCAGCCTATATCTAAAGGAGAAGTATTGGGGGAGTAAAGTATACTCTTCCCAATACTTGGAGTCGGCGTGTGACACTGCAGCTGTCACATTGCAGATCACAGTCCTCTCCCTACAAAGAGTGGTGATTGACAGTCACCACTCCCCACAGGGATTCCCCCCTCCCCTCTCTATTCCTCCAGTGCTCATTGGAGAGACAAAAAGGAGGGAGCGGGCACAGCTGGCTCTGGCTCTAAAGAGACAGCTGTCAATCAGGCAGCGAAGTGGATTCCGACAATATCGTGTGCATCCATGAAACGACAACAAAATTCAGTACCCGAAAAAAGTCCAATGCTTTCAAAGCCCCCACAGGTCATTAGTTCAGAGTGGCATGTAAATATTGGCCCTAGAATTTTTGCTCTCACACTGGAGTGTGCAGCGATACCCATCATGTGTAGTGCAAACGTTGTTTTCGTACGAAGGCGCACCCAATGCGTGTTTATATGTTACCATGCGCACGCTCGCATTTACTGTGCTTCAGGAGCCAAGCACTGACAGCTATGGGACCGGAAGTGATGCAATATGCGTCACTCCCGGTCCCATAGAACGGGGAGGTGGACAGCATTTTCTAAATAGAATGTTGCGTAATTCTCTTTTCATTTTTTAATAACACATTTAACCTCCCTGGTGGTCTTATTATCTCAATATTTTTTTTCCTTTCTATTTTTTCCTTCCTTCCCTTCCTTCGCAGGAAAGGAACCCGGAAGACGGATGGCGGCACCTGCCGAAGGACACAGGAGGGCTCGTAGGGACAAAATAAGTGACGCTACAGTGTAATCCCGAGTGTGGCTCGGGGTTACAGCCAGGAAGGTTAAAGAAGAAGTATCACCACGTATCAAAAAAACCTTAATAAATCCTCCAGGGGCCCAAGTGCATGGAGCACTTGGTCCAGTTTTGATCTGTGGCCTTGTTGTGGAATATAAAGCCAATTTGGATTTTGTCTGTGCTGCCTGTAGCTCCATCCCAGACTGAAGCCAAATTTGTGGTCGTTCCTATTGGGGGAGGTCCTATTTGTGCAGCTTACCTGCCAGAGCTGGCTGATCATTCACAACACAAGCAGTAGTAGACGTTCAGTCAGCACTGTCAAGACTGTATGATATATCTGCTGGTGTTGTGGATTCTTTCAAGCAGCTGGCAGGTAGATCTCATAGCCCCGCAGCATTGAATGATCTTTTCCTTTTGTGAATGGTCAGCCTGTGTGATCCATCTTCTGGCGCCAGATTATCTTTTACTAGTGCTTGCATTGTGATCGAAGCTGTGCTGAATGATGACACTCATCTCCAGCTTGTTCCTGCTTCAAGGGACAAGTGCTGCCAGTCAGCACCCATTAGTTATACATCTCCTTGTGACCAGTAGTTGGGGGGGGGGGCAAGCTGTCAACCACACTAGCTCAGCAACAGGGCCACAGATCACAATGGAACAACATGCACCATACACTCTGTCCCCAGGGGGATTTAATACAAATCTTTTCGATATGTGGTGATATTTCTTCTTTAATGGTGCCCCAGGGGACCATCAGTCTGAGGTTTTAATTAAGTCAACCTTGACTGGTGTGTCACTAACTTTTGGACTTGTTTTTGTAGCTCGTTGGTCTTTATCATGCTATTTGATTAGAAATTGTCCTTAAAAAATTCCAAGACCTTAGATAAACCGGTGTATTGGGAAACTTTAAATGCACACGTGGACTTAACTGAACTATATAATACAAATTAATAAACAAAATGTGAAATTATAGTCCATCGCGGAAGCGAGTTTGGAGTGATAGCTACAACACACACAGGGACCATGGGCAACAAAAAGTAGCCACCCTCCAGAATCTTAAAGTGACATTAGACCCTCAGATTTTTTAACATAAACCAATACTGTAATGTGCGCCTTACTGTAATCCATGGTTGTTTCCCTTCTCTTTGCTGCTCTTCCTTTTAAATCTGTATCTGTTCTCATGCTGGGCAGAACTTCTGTTTTGCAGCAGACTGCCTTGTCTCTGAAATGGCTACATGGTGTGTGTGTACGTTTGCAACCTGAGCCAGCACTACAGGAAGAGCCACTCAGCTGCAAAGGGAAGTTCTCCCCAAGCATGAGAAGACATGAGGATTTAAAAGGAAGAGCAGCAAAGAGAAGGGAAACAACCATGGATTACAGTAAGGCACACATTACAGTATTGGTTTATGTTAAAAAATCTGAGGGTTTAATGTCACTTTAAGGCTCCGTACAGTGTCAGCACCGATTCAGAGATGATTTGAGGATCTACAGCTGAGTGATACACATATAAGATACATTTTATGTTAATAGTTGAAGTACTTGAAAGCATTTAAGATTTAACGCCTGAGTTTAGTGTCACTTTAATTTCAATTCTAGTTCTTCAATCTAAAAGAATGAATTCTTACTCTAATCACTGTAGGTTATTCATCCATTCGTTCACAAATGCCAGCACCAAGGATACATTTAGTATACATATGGGTCATCACGGTGCCCACCTTTAAAATAGTTGGTTTTCATACCAGGTATAACCAAACAAGCAAGAGGACATCCTATCCATGTCACACAGCCTAGCATAACACATGCCATTATCAGCATTGGCTCTCCGCCAGATGGCATGCTAAACATTGGGGGCGTTAGCCGGCATCAGCAGTCATTTCTTATTTCACATTCACAGCAATTCTACTGCAGCGCGGACGCGCCACAGAGCAGGTGTTAAAAGGTGACGCGAGTAAATAAAAAATTCTCATAATCTCCTTTAAGAAGAGAAAAAAAAAAAAAGGGCAAATATAAGTGCTTCCTACAAAACCGATGATGATCCCATCCCAAGCTTAGGTTTCTATGTACCACACAGAACATTGTTTACCAGTTTGTAGAACAAGATCCCCTGCTGAAACAATGAGCACTACGTGCAGAAGATCGGCAAGGCAAGTTAACACATTCTGCAGAGTAATGCTCTATGAAGTGACCTCCCACCCTCCGCTATGTTTGATCTTCCAAGTCTTGCTGTATGACAGGAAGTAAACAAGATGGAAAGCAAGTCAGCAAAGACAGAAGCACTGCAGTCTCATCGGGGGGTCCTCTGCATCTGCCAGCTGTGTGCCACCGCAATCGTCAACGCATGGCTGCGAAGGATGCAGCAATTTTTTAAAAAGTGGCAGAAGACGCCTGCAGCATAAAACCCTGGTATGGTTTCTACGGGAATCCAGTATTCATTTCTTACAGGACTGGGTGGAATAAATACCCATTTTATTTTTTACGCCAGGTTTTCTATGCCAAGGAGACGATAACCCAGCAAACATCTAAAATAAATGCAACCATTACATTGCATAACCGCATAGTGAACTAATGAATCATTTAAACACATTACAGGAGTGTTGTGCATCCTATGAAGTCAAATCTCACAAAGGGCTCATCAATACAAAACATTTAAAGGATGATCACACAGAGACTGTAATAACATGGTATGCCTTAAAGGACACACACGGGCACTGCTGCAATGCATTCCATTCCAAGGCAGGGACACAAAGCCTGGGCACATAGAAGTGGTACCATCCACAGACACAGGAAGCCTGGGAAGGGCTGTTGCTAGGAAGACAGAGAATCTACCTTTGCAGAGACATGAGTTCACAGGCCATCCCACTCCGAAGAGCCCGCTGCAGTGTACCCTGGGCCACCGGCTCAAATACCGGATCAGGCCGGAACTAGAATAGATGGAGGCAGCTAACGATTGGCGATCGCGTCAAACTTCATGAGAAGCTGTCTTCTTATCTGCTGGATTCCTGCTGCTAACGCCGCTGTTGGCTCTTCTCTCCCCCCTCCCCTACAGTCGGATCAGGAAATCTAATTGTCACTTGTTAGACCGCCTTCCTTGTAATTCGACTCCCCTTGGCGATTCCACGCACACAGCTGTCAATCACGTGCGATCGTCCAATAGCTGCAGGTCTAGGCGCTTCCTCATGAATAGGGCGGATCGCAGGGGTAGTCACGGTTACAGTGCTCACAAGGCCCTGTCCCCCTGTGCCCATGAACAGGCTATGTTCCTCGGGGCACGTAGTGTACAGCTCAAAGGTCCACAGTCCTCTGTTTACAATGAGCAAAGCTGCTACTTCTGGTAGCCTTGACAGCTGCCCTTCACATGGCACACATCAAATCACAGGCATGAGACACGTTGTTTACATCATACAGTGTTAACTGCTGCCTATAGTAGGAAGCAAATAAACAAAACCTCTCACACTTTACCACTGCCATAAAATATAGATCGATCTATATAAAAAACAAGAGTTTGGTAGACACTTGAAGGTCTTCAACAGGAGTAAAGGCATCAAATGATAGGTTTATTACAGTGATGGGGGGGGGGGGGGGGCGGAGGGCACCTCCTGAAATGATGGCAGATAGCAAGGAAGCAATAGCTTCTTTGCCATCTGCAGGGTTTTTTTTTAGTATTCTGGCAGCAGGGGGGAGGGGAGGTTCTATTAAGCAATTATGTATTGTCTTTCCTGTATTAGCATATACTGTATATGCAGGCCCGGATTTCCCACAAGGCCACCGGGGCGGCAGAGCGCAGAGGGGTGGCAGCGGTGACCTTGTGGGGAAGTTGCGGGCGCCGATGTAAGGTGTCCGCCGGCCGGCGGCCGCACACTACGGTCCGCCGCCGTCCAATCACGATACAGATACCGGCCCTTTACATTTTTTTGAACGTGATCGGCTGCCAAAGATCCCGCACTTGCTGGGGACCCCAGGCAGCCTGCTGGGGTCCTCAGGCAGCTGTGTTTGACAGTGTCAGTCCAGCCGCACATCACCTCCTGCTCCTTTCCGAGATCGGTACTGCAAAAGACAGCAAATTGGCAGTTGGCACTAGACAGAAGGGCATGGACAACAATAAGAGGACCAGCACCCCCCAACTCCCCCTTTTTAAAGATTTCCTTTTACTTCTTCGTGTGTCTGTCTTCTGTAGAGGTGATTTACTTTTCCTTTCTGTTCCAGACAGCATATAAAAAAGGGTCCTAACCATTCCCTGTCCTATCCAAAACAAAAACGTTTGTGGCTTTAAAATACAGTCCACGGGCAGCATGGCGGCTGAGTATTTCAGCCTCAGGCCAGACACGCCAACATTTATTCAGCTCTCTGTCATGTTCCAAGAGCAGGAACAGATCATGACACTACATAATCCTGATGTAACGTGTCCTCCCTATTACTCCATTTACAAGCTCGCTTATTTCTGGAACTGGACAGGCTCCATTTACTTGAGCAGCATCTTAAAATTGCAGCGGTGACATTTTTTGTGTGCTAATAAATGAGAGAATACGTTGGTTGGTTTGTTTGTTCCAGTAATGGTAGGACTATTTGCAATGCCATGATATTCCAGCACTCTACTATAGAATCATACTCCTAAAAACAGCTATCTAATCAGGACATTATGTTCAGCTTTTGTGAGCGATCAACAGTCTTCGATGTAAAAAAAGTAACATGGCTGCACTGTTATTAATGAGAGAAATATGGAAGTTTGCATTGCTGACCTTCTAAAAATGCTGCTTGCTTGGCTTCAATATTGTCACACACCCAGGGGAAGTATGCAGGAAATAAACTTAGGAATTCCTCATCTCCATTCTCGTTCAGGGTCAGTAAAAGCTACTGAAGACAAACCATTCCAGGAGAAGTCAGCAATGACAGGCTATGTATTTCTCTCATACAGGTTTCCTTTAAAAGGCATTCTGACAAGATAGAAATAGGGGAGAGGCCATTACGGATATGTTATTAGAGGCTCCAGAACATTGTCCATATTTTTTGATTATCTACTGACTTGGAACATTTAAACAAACATTTAAGCAGAAAAATGTTAAGATATTAGATATACGCAGCTTTTGTATTTCTGTGTAGATAGGTTTGCTTTAAAAAACAAGTAAAGTCAAACCTGTACTTCTCCTTTGGGTGTCAGGAATACATTTACTAATGTACTCCTGTGTCCCAAAGTAAGCCAATAGGGAAGTACTTCTTTCTATATGTGCCGACAGCACAGAGCTGCACTGCAGGCGGGAAAGATCCCAACAATATTATTGGAATTCACCAGGCTGTGAGACAGCTGGCTCTGCCTCTCTAGGGCCAAAGCCAGCTGTGCCCATCCACACCCCTGTCTGTCCAATGAGTGCTGGAGGAACAAAGAAAAAGGGGGGAATCCTTGCGGACAATCACCGCTCTCTGCATGGAGAAGACCGTGGGCTCTCAATCTCAATCTATAGAGTGCGACAGCTGCAGTTTACCACAACTGCACTAAGTATTGGGAGGAGTATATATTTATTTTTTTATTTGGTCAAGTGGGAAAGTAGAACATGCTTATTTTAAATACAGAGGGGGTTGAAAAAAAAATATTGCTAGGTTTTACTTAACCTCTCCATACTCCAGCCCTGTCCTCAGCTTCCTCCTTGGTTACAATCAAGCCCTCCTTTTGTGTCCAACCTTTCGCTGACACATCCCCCTGAGGGTGCATCATTGCGCAGGCTGGGCTCACAGTACTTCAGGACCATGACGTGTGGCAGCCACTTAGTCATGGAGGGAACTGGACCTGCTGGAAGACTGTGGATAATAGATTTTTATTTTATATAAAAAAGAAGACTTGTGAGGGGCAGAATTGTGCAAAAATGGCTGATGTTGCATTTTAAACAGAGGCTTCCCCAGGCTTGGTGGCACCCGGTGCGGCCGACTGGTGTCACCTTCTGTGACTTTATCAGGCACACGTGTAATGACATCACATGCACTTAACTGCCAGAGACCATCTTAGTAATGGATCCTGGCACAGAGAGGAGGGGACATTAATCCAGCAGGATAAGGTATGTCGCCGGGCCCTCTCCTCTCTCGTATACACTGTTGGGCTCCCGGTCCATAACCATGTGCCCGACTTTTCAGAGGGGGTGACACCATAATGACTGACAGCCATTTTGTTGTCACCCCCTCTAATGGTGTCACCCAGTGCGGGCCGCACCCACCCCTTGTGACACCGCTGACTTTAAAACCTCAATTTTTACTGCCATCTAGCGCAGTCAGAATTTATTTTACCAACAAACACATACTGCAATAGGAACACATTTTTATTTTTAGTAAGAGAAGAAAAAAGTTAAGAGTTCTAGTGCCCAAAGTAGACAGAAAGCAAAGGCTCCAACCATAACTTTGATAAAAAAAAATTTAAAAAGAGGTTATAGTGTCATTTCCATCACTGTCGACATCCTGTATCAGGTGGGACCCGTCACCGTAAGTGGAAATAGTTCTATGCCTTCACTATGCTATCTAAATAGTTTTATAGTATTCCTGTACAAATAATGCAAAATTGAAATCTGAAAGTAAAAATCTTTCTCCATGTTAGCAGATGTCATCCTGGCCCAGGCAGCCAAGGCGGCTTAAGATTTCTGATCCCAGAAGTAGATGGAGAAAAAATAGAAGCGCCAGTGACAGGGGAGTTCGTAGATATCACAGCGCTGGAGGAGGATACTTTACAAGGTAAGAGTGTCATATGTTGTGTATGCTTGCACATTAGGACAAAAATTCCTGGGGGGACCTGAAAGTTCATTTCCGCTTAAAGAAGAACTATGAGGTGAGTGCTTTTCACTCACCTCATAGTTCTAGCCGACCTGTGACAATGAGACTGTCACAGGTCGGCTCAGTAGATAGGGAGGTGAATGAACACATACCGGCGTTCGCCCACCTCTCGATCCTGTCACGGCTCTCTGCTGTGACAGGGGAGGGGCTGAATTCCCCGCTCCGATCTGCCAGCGCTGACTGGCGGAACGGATGGGGGAGGGGGCGGGTACATCTGGCTCTGCCTCTAGATAGGCAGAGCCAGCTGTCAGTCACGCAGCTGGGCCGATCCCGGCACAATTGTCGGGATCCGCTTCAGCTGCGGTGCCTAGGGCAGTAGCTCGCGGTATACTGAGCCTAGGGTGACTGGAGGACGCTAGTTTGTGTCCTCCCGTTACCCTAACGAGAACTATGGGGAAAAGCCTTAACCCCATAGTTCTCCTTTAACACAAAAGCACATGTGAAAGTTCTTGTACAAAAGGAAGGTCCTTTAGAAGATAGCTCATATGCTGATATGTTGTCACCATCCCCTGCTCCACTACAAATATCCTTTGTGGACATACTCCAAAGATACTGTGTACCAATGTTATTGCATCTCCGTGAAATCAAAGCTCTAAAAAAATATCTACATGAAAAAGATTTTAACAGTGTGAATGGAAATCTATACATCAGTAAATGAGCAAAAAAACAGTTGTAGGTACAAAGCAGATAAAGTAAACAAGTTAAATAACCAGCTATTCTACTAAGCAACCGTGCTAAAGTCAGAAAGTCACCAAATACACCTACAGCTGATATTTTACTATCCCCTTCAACCAGGTTTCACAGAGCTCCTCAGGTGTGGGTCATTGGACAAAAACTATGACCTCATTAATTCCACTTCTAGTCCAGAGATGCACTGTGCTCTATATACATTACCCGACTGTTGTCTAAACCTGTGGAAGGACACATTTGAAACCAAGGAATTTATAAAGCATGGGTACCTGCACTAACACCCAGAAAAGTTACATGCATCTATAAATAATACATACCTTCAGCTTTCTTGCGTTACACTCTAGCTTGTACCAAGGTACCTGAGACCACACCATCAATGTAAACCTGATCCACCTGGGTTACGTGTGCTTGCTTTTCCTCACCATTCTCAGCACAGAAATAAGCTTGTTGCTTGGACTCACTATCTATGCTATTCTCTTAACAATTAAGTGTATATAAGTAAAGAGTACGGTAACGTTACACCAAAGAATACATTTAACTGCCTATCTTAAAAATATTGTAGAATGAAAACTCACCGAGACCGTCGTCTAGTTGGAAAGTTCCACAAGGAAATGAGGTCATTTCTAGAGAATCGAAGGTAAAAGTGAGGGCCAACACAGCTTGTTTGTGATAAGCATTAATATTGCACGTATTTTACTGCTTATGACTAATCAAGGAACAACTCATTATTATTTATGGATGTATTCACCGGACTATGGTGTAAAGTTCATAAGATAAAGATTACATTTAATATGCAAGGGTTTTTTTAGAATTTGAAATTAGAATTAAGGTGCCCATACACTGCTCGATTCTCGTACGAGAATCGAGCGAAATCCCGCGATCGTACGAGAATCGAGCAGTGTGAACTAAGACGTGCGACCGTTTCTACTGTACGGTCGCACGTCTTTTGTCGAGCCAACATGTTCGAAAACCCTAGCTTTCTAGCTTGCTCGCCCGATAGCTGCGGAACGGGCCGGTGTGCGCACGCGCACACTGCCCGTTCTGCATTGCCGTCATCGGAAGCCCGCACCCTCAGCGGGGCGGGCTTTCGATGATCGCAAGTACGATCTGCCCGTCCAAGGTGGGCAGATCGTACGGGCTTTCAAGCAGCATACGACCATCGCAAGACAAAAGTCTTGCGATGGTCGTAAGGTGTATGGGCACCATTAGGCAACCAGGAGACAAAAAGAAGTTTGTATTTTTGGCCAGCCAAATTGAAGGTTCGGATACATGGATAACTTATTAAATGGCTACTTTCTTGAATATTCCTATCACTTATAATAATCATTTTACTTAGAAATACAGTAAACTGTAATAATATGTATGTATTGATGATTTAGATTCCATTACTTAACCAATTCAGGGCTGCAATACCTCTATAGACCGCGGCCCTATAGTGGTTTCGGAGAGAGATTCAGCGGCTTCCAGCCGCTGATCTCTCCTCCGATCACTGGACCCGGAAGTGATGTGTTTTACATCACTTCCGGTGTCACTGTACACAGTCTCCGGCTCTTAGAGCCAGGAGATGAAGCTGGGGAAGCAGATCTCTGCTTCTTTGGGGTCCCTCGGTGACATTAGGGGTCTGCAAGACCCCTGATGTCTCCATAAAGAGGACCTGTCACACCCTATCTGCTATTAGATAGAGTGCTTGTTAGCTCCCTATCTAATAGCAATAGGGTTAGTGGGGGAAAAAAAAACAGTGTTAAAAAGTTTTACAAATGAAAGTAACAAAGGAAAAAAAAAGTTTTAAGACCCCCGTCCCCCACGTGCACGCACACACGCGTCGGTGCGCCTACGTGCGAAAACGGCAATTGCGCTACACATTACATATCGCCGCGAGAGCAATAATTCTAGCACTGTCAATGACTGTTGGCACTAAACTGATAAGCGTTAAAAGCGTTTAAAATGTTCCCTATGGGAAATTTTGGGTATTTACTTTTTTTGTGGCTTCACGGGCGAACGCAATTTGAAGGCTTCACGTTTGGTATATATTTACCCGGCGTGACCCCGTCTTTCATATTTTACCAAAAAATTGGGTTTATATTATGTTTCTGTGCACTAAATTTTAATTTAGGTTTATTTTTTCCTAAAAATACAGGTTTGATAAACATTTGCTGAAAAACCGTGCAACGTAAAAAATTGCACCTAGCATTTTTTTTTATTCTACAGGGCCTCAGCTTTCAGAAAATATATAATTGTTGGGGATCTGAAGCTATTTTCTAGCCAAAATGTATATTTTATCATGTGTGCGCAATAGTAGGAAAATGCCCCGGATGGCAAGTGGTTAAGTAGAAAGCAACATCTTTAGGCCCCAATTACATTTTTGCATTGCTTTAACACACACTTGTTAATACGCGTGTGAACATGCATTGCCAAATAAATGAGCAGCCAATGCACCCCAATGGGCTTAGAATATGACCAATGTCACCAGAACAGAAAGTAATTGGGAAACCTACATTTTAAAACTGTCATGGCAAAGGAATGCAAAATCTTCTTATGGAAGACACCTGTTCCAGTGACAGCTGTTTAAGAGGGATCTTCCCTCACTTTAGTGAGATTTCCTTACTTCATGTAGTGTTTCAAATGTGGAAGTCTGTTTAGTGAACAGGAGGAAAAATTTGAAAAATGCTTACTCCTGCCTGCAACAGAGTGATGACATCATTATCAGGCAAAGTCACTTGAATGAACCTCAAGGTTTGCTTTTTTATTAAAAGGTACTGCTTAAAAGGAGAATTATGGGGAGAGTAAGATGTTAATCTTGTGTGAAAACATTTATCAATAGACCTCCTAGTGTGTTCACCAAGCCTCATAATACATGTATGTTTTATTTTAATTTTATGGCAATATTAAAACTCTTGGCAGTTTACAGCTTTACAGTTACCACCAGGCCCGTGAGAATGGCATTTGTTGCCAATGTTAAGAACAAGAAAGAGGTCATAAGGCTAGTATTTTTTCCTACAAAAGGTGGCAACCTTACCCATTATGCGGATGTGCACCTGTAGTTCAGGATGATAAAGACAGCGATTGTTATTTATAAAAAGGTACAATGCACAAAGTTAAATGGTCTAAAGTCATCTCAGGACGTAATTTTGATTTACCCCCACACACACACTATTCCAATGACCACACAGATAAGCCTAATACCACAATGTGTATAAACACCAACAGTGTCTGAGTGCTTATGAATGCCATTACATGTACCATTGATCTCCATCACAACAAACTTCTACATCTTACCTGAAAAGTCACACTTT